CTTCCACGATGTTATTTCTCTCTCCAACAGCATAGGTTACAATTACATTAGCATGACCAATTATGCAAATTAGATGATGATGTCATTTAGCGACTTGTAGGACAGCCAATAGCGATTTTCCTTACTGAGGAGTTGGCAACACTGCTCAAGTGTTTGGAAGCCAACCAAAGTTCTCTTGAATTGTCATAATAGAGAACATGACATGTTGCTGCTAGTTAGTCAACTTACCTTCTTTATGACAGTGATGGTCAAAGCTAGTTTGGGGTTTAATGGACTGGTAGCTCCATAAGTGTTTTACACATTTCCAGTTGAAATATCTCTGGTTTGATCCCAGTAGGAGCTACAAATTCCTGATTTTTCTAGCTGTTTCCACCGTGTTTCTAGGCTTCACGCTACTTTAACATAAACTAAACTAAGCTAACCAGCTGCAGATAGTTGATGAAAATTAGGTTGTTCTCAGGTTGGAACCATGTTGGACGAGAAAGGTACACCAGATGGGCGTCCAGAGGTCCGTACAGTAACATTTTTAAACCTCATTTAAGTAAGCGGAACTAATATTGGACACAGGGACAGGAGTTTTAGGGCAGTGTGGAGCGCTTTATCATTCAGTCACCGTGGTTCTCTTCTGTGTCTGTAAACATCCTCCTTACACTCATAGAGCCAAACGTGAGCAGAGAAAAAGACCGAATGCTGATCGTTACATAAGGAGCACAATGCGCTGACAGCCAAGTCGCGTGAACGGCACAAAATTTGCGTTGCATTGGCCGCAGAGGGAAACGTCATGGTTTTGTAGCGCAGTGGTGGTTGTCACATGTCCATAAAACAACACAGGAGGAATAAGCTAATGGGTAAAACTGCTAACGTCATGACCACCAACTCTCCCAGTCCTCACCCTTTCAAAGCAGCAAACCAAATAAATGACAGATGGATATAATATGTAAGATGGCATTATTATTGACAAACCTGCAGTATTTTGTGCAGTTCTCCTTCACTTTACATGACAGTAGTACTTATCTTGTTGCCATTAATGTTAGCTAGCTAAACAGCTATGTATTTTTTATTGGTAAATATTAAATAAAAGCTAAACTGGATGTAAATATTGGACTTTAACATGGGGGAAAGAGTTGTATTCATTTCTAACATTTGCCTGGTTCTTTGTTCCATTAAGTTTCTTTTTTATTCTGAATTTACACATGTAAAAATGCTAATAGCAACTGTAGGCTAATAAGATACATTAGCTATGTTAACAGTTGTAGCTTATATAAATACACATTACAATATTGAAACCTTGTCACTCAGGTCCAATAGAGAACCCAGGTAGATTTATTTCCTAATGTACTGTAGGTGTGTCAGTTTAATGTGCATATAAGTATATGTTTGCTAACACTGCCATATTAAAGTGATAATAGGCTGTAGTGTAGTGTGTTCATGTCTTTTCTGCTCAACTCTGCTGCCCAACATTAAACTTTTTATACTAAGCAGTTTGAGATCCTGCACATGTGAAGAATCTGTCTGTCCTTTGTTGCGTCCCCCAGGCCTGCAGCCCTGTCCTGTCTGTGGCCCCCAGAAGCCCTGGCAGTCATGGCTGGACCGCCTCCACCCCTGGCCTCAGCCACAGTAACACTCCGGTGGGTCTTTTGTCTGCCTTTACATGTGTCTTTACATATAGTAAGGGTAAGGTGGGAGCATTACCATGTCCAACATTTGATACTGTTGCACTCATAGTGGGCAGGGGGCCACACTGTCTAACTCTTCCACCAGAGGCTGCTGTTGTGCCTAAGCTTTGGTTGTGTCCTCAGATGGTGAAACCTCGCTGTCGGTCCGTCAGCGTCGGAGAACAATGGCTCCAGCAGAACAGGCTGCAGCCAATGAGTGTGTCGCCCTCCTGCACTCACTGCTCCTTCAGGTGAGGCATTCATGATGTTAACATTTAAACATTTCTAATACTCGGCTTCTTTGTGTGTAGTGCTATTTTAAGCTAATGTGCATGTTAATTCAGTTCAGTTCAGTTTTATTTATAAATGTCCAAATCAGGGCAGTTGCCTGGTAGTACTTAGTTTTGTAAAGTAAAGACCCTGTAATAGTTCAGAAAACCCCAACAATCAGACCACCCCCATGAGCCAGCACTCGGCGACAGTGTGAAGGAGAAACTTCTTTTTAACAGGATGACAAGGCTCGGGGGGCTTAAGTCGGGCGAGCTTTAAAAATTGTTATTGATGATTGATGTTGATCGCCTCTGTCAGTGCGCCCCAGGGCAGCTGTGGCTACAATGTAGCTGCCATCACCAGTGTGTGAATGTGTGGATGTAGTGTAACGCGCTGTGGGGTCCACAGGGACTAAGTAAAGCGCTATACAGATACAGGCCATTTACCAGTGATGAAACTTTCTGATCCTACGTTTTCAGTTTGGCTGCTTACAAATGGAGCTTTTTCTGTTGATTGTAGTATCTGTCCTCTGCTTACGTCACATTTCCATGGCCTTCCTGCCTAGAAAAGTTTTTGTCTTTATTTGTTGCCCCTTTTTTGCCTTTCTGACGCTCGCGACTCGTTTCTCTTTGCAGGAAGGGCCGCGGGGAGGCCAAGAAGTGCCGCAAGGTGTACGGGGTGGAGCGCAAGGATCAGTGGTGCACCGCCTGCCGCTGGAAAAAGGCCTGCCAGCGCTTCCCGGACTAGAAGCAGCCGAGGCCATGGCGAGAGAGAGAGCGTGAGAGACGTGGATGGACGGATGGATGCGTTACAACAAGAGACTTTTATCAAAAAGAGAATATAAATCAGGGCCCGAGAGCCATCAGCTGTTTTACATGTTTGTGTTTTTTTACTTTCAACTTGTTTCGTTTCTTTCCTAAAGGAATGCTTCTGGACTTTTTCTGTATCTTTGTATCTTGATCCTGAAAACTGAAGTCTGCGATGGTGCTAACTGTTGACTGACTTTGACCTACGTGATGTGCTAAGCCTACAATACTCTTTATCCAAAGGTCATATTACTACTCCTGTAGCTCCACTCTATTAGACTTGGCTGTTTTTGTTATTCCGATCTTCTCTTCCAGTGGTGACACAGTGGTTATGATGTACATTATATTGTGTGCTCTGAGTTACGTACGAGTATTTTATACCGTTTTTTTTTTATTATAATTATTTTAATCGTCTGGTTCAGCCCATGAATTGGGCAGATATTTTTTTTATTATTATTTTCATGTTTTTGGCACTTTGTTGGAATATAAACTCACGAGAATAAGCTAAAAGTTCTTTCCATGAAATGGATTTCCTTCCTGCCCGTGTGTTGGCGTACGACCAGTGTTAATGGCTCTGTTCCTTGAAGCCGTCACGGCAATGGGACGAGCGTGAGGGGAACGAGTTTGCAATAGCAATAAAAAAAAGAGGAAATATATTGTCAAACACATTAAAAAGCACTGAGAGTTTGAGCTGCTTTCTGTTGTTCTTGTTGTTCTGCACGACAGTCCACGAAGGAAATGCCAAACATTTTATTGCTTTTGCCACCATACAAGACTCAGAACAATGGTGTGATGGTAAAAATGTGCTGACATGTACGCGTGTTCACAAATTCCCATTTCTTTCTTTGAGAAATGCACGTGCACACCTGCATCTTCTCTGCAATCAGCCACACACTGCAGAAACGATCAGCACCGTCGGGAAAATCTATGAATATGCAAAATCACGGCTGAAACAACAAACACTTCCTCCCAAACAGCTGACGTGCACAGTTCATCCTCTCTGCATTAAGTGGATGCCATGAGTCGTTTCCTCCTCTCCTGTCTCACCGTGCAGTAGATGCCCAACGATCCCTGGCAGTTTACATCTTCCTGCGCTTTAAACGGCCGTGAGGAGGAAAACGCCTCCGGGTGGAGAAGTGTTTGAAAGCAGGAGGAGGACTCTTGTTTCTTTGTTTGCTTTACTCCTGAGGTCTGCTGCCTCATTTTCACAATTAAAGCTGGAATTGCTAGTGGGTGAGCTGGGTTAACATTTGAAATCCAGGTTTAAGCCATAAAAGAGGGAGAATTTATTAGGAGTCTCTTTTAAAAATGAGAAACTACTCCTCCTATTTGTTCATAATTACAGCTCAGATGCCAACATACTTGGTTACAGCGACTTTAACAGAGCCATGAACCACAGTTCTGATCCTCCGCCTCTTTATAACCGGAGGATGTGATGCACAGACTCCCGAGACGAATAACTTTCATGTAGCTCATCTCAAATTTGCCTCAAATCAAAATATACAGAATATCTCATCTTCTATTCTCAGACTTGATTCTCACAAGTGAAACCAAAAAGGAAAGAATTATTGTTGTTATTAATTATTATTACTGGACACTACCGTCCTTCTTTACTCAAAAATGTTTACTATTTATTTGTTTTTTAATGTTTTATGAATTTATTCTGTTAGCTCGCCGTTTTATGTTAATTTGTACTTTCAGTCTAACTCCTGGGAAAAGGGCTCGTCCGTAGACTTCCACATCCGAGCCAAAGCCAGCATCCAAGGCCAGCGTGATCGTTCCCCGGACACTAGAGGGCAGTATTGTTCCACTGACAGCAGAGCTGATGATCATTTCTCAGAGAAACTCATGACGGGAACAGTTTGCAATAAAAACTTCCACCTTATTGCAGAAATAACAGATTACAATTGAAAAATACTTTTTACTGTCAGTGTTAATAAAGCCAGAGTCCAGAAAACCAATTTATCTCATTGTGTTTACTTAATTAGGTTTCTAAGCAGGGAATTAGATTTTTATATCATTAATTAATAGTTGGTGCTTCAGCAGTTTCACCGTCTGATATATAAAATCATCTGATCTTGTGTCTGCTCTAACTGGGAAGCTGAGCAGTTAGCAGCTGTGTAGCAGCCGAGTATTCCTAAATCTAGGAATACTCGGCTGGACTGTGAGGAAAACAAAGTGCTGCCTTCATGTTCCAGCCAAACATGCATCAAAGTGCTTTCCACATCATTTTCAAACTCTTCAATTAAACCAGTTCTCCAGTCTCATTTGGCCACTTTTTATTATACCGACACACAAAAATATATTCAATTGCACTTCTCGAATTCTTTTATTTCACAGAATGGCATGTAAATGTGGTTAATAGGAAGGACATCACGGTCAAAACATTCTTTGTTACTTGGAGACACAAAGTGAGGCGGGGCAAGATGGCGGAGTCTGTTCTTCTGATGACGTCACAGTTCAAACTGGAGTGAGCTGCTGTGGGAAAAAAATGGTTGACAGGTTGAGGTAAGCAGAGGCGGCGCCCCGGAAGCGTTACAGTTTGTGTTGCCGCCACAGGCGGCTCATGGGGATGGGGTTGAATCTGCCGCTGCGGTTGCTCCTCATGCCCAGGTACTGCCTCAGCAGCTGGTTGACCCGTTTCTGACTGTTCCATTTGCGGGCAGATTTCCGGACGCCTATGAACCCGCCGTAGCGCTTCTGTAGCGGCCTCATCGATGAGCCTAGCAGCTTCCTGTATGCGTGGCGCCCCCTCTGAAAGCCGCCAAAGCGTTTGGATAAGGCGATGCCCTCTGAACTCTCACCTTCACCGGCCTCTAGCTGGCCATCGCTTTCCACGTTCCTCTCCTCTCTGGGCTTCTGCTCTTCATCCGTCAGACTGAGATCCAGACTCTGCAGGCCCTCCCCCTCCTCAGAGGATCCCAGCAGCGATGAGTCATACTGGACGCTGCGCTGCTCGAAGGGTGTCTCATCCCGATCCCCCTCCTGGAAACGCTCCGCAGCTGTCGACTGCACCAGTTCACTGTCAGAGTTCAGGTCGAGAGAGGTCAGCTCCAGCTCCTCTCCCGTTCTCTTGAAGAGAGCGCCTCCTTCAGAAAGTGTAGGATGGAGCAATAGCTTCACAGCGCGTTTGCATACGTCCCACGTCAGCGAAGAGGAGATGCGACCCTCGCATTCCAACAAACACACCTGCAGAGGGAAGAGAAACAGTGACGTGGTGAGGCGATCCGAAGGGGTCTTTTTGACGTTTAACTGATGAAAACACAACAAAGATCCCAGAGACTTTGAAGTCCCCTAATTACTTGCAGTCATTCAAGCGCTAATCAGGCTTAAGAAAGAAGGTGACAGTGAGGATGCTGAGAATATTGGGCTGGCAAATAATTGCAGGTGTTTAGTCCACACACCAGAGCAACGTGACGGTCGAACGTAACGGTGCTGACAAGGCCTGAAGTATCTCCGGTTTCTACAATCACAAATTTTCTTTCCTTAGAACATAAATCATGGAAAGGACAAATAACGGAGCAGAGAGCAGACGCTCTTATTTCAAGTCTAACACACATAAACTGTCTGTCTGTCTGAACATGTGCGTGTTCCCATTGATCTCTTACTGGTTGTTTCCTCACATTTCCTACATTCGAGCGCTGCTTAGCAAACATAGCAGTGTGATATTTCTGACCTGATATTTAAAGAGTTTTAGCTAGCACTGCTGTTATAGTTGCTAGTTGTTAGGAGTAGTGGTAATTTGGATCATTATATTTATTCAAGCTTAAAGCTACGAGCAAAGAATCCTACAAAGAAGGATTGTAAGGTTTCCTGGGGTGAGACGGTGCGCTTTGTACTTCTTTAGAGAAATGCAGAAGGACAGCTTTTGCAAAAAGGATGTAAATGGCTGTGGTGACCACATATTTCAAGAAGAAGACGGTTTTGAATAAGAGAGGAAGGCGCACAAAGGTGCAGTCTGAAAGAGATAAACTGCAAGGTGGTGTAAGGGGTGCGGTAGCTGGGGTGCATTGGATGGCAGCCTGTAGCATGATTCTGGACGAGAAGGGGAGGTGAACCTGGTGGTTGACTGAGGAAGTGCGGGGAAGAATTCAAAGGAAGAGGTAAGCAGAGAAGAAGTGGGCTAGTCCTCTGAGGCTAGACGTGCGACAAAGACAGAGGTGGCAAAGGAAAAGGCTCAGTGAGTTTTATGTGAAGCTGGAGCCTAACGAGGGAGAAAAATTAGTTTATCTCGGAAACTGAGAGGATGGCTGAGGAATGCAGAAGAAGCGTAAAAATAGAGCTCCAGAAGGAAAACACTTGATGAGCGATGCCAAGAAGAGTTGTTGAAGCTACGTTAAGTAGAGCGGTGACAGTCATTACACCAGAGCTCTTCACTGTCTCTCTTTGCTGTTGGTTCCTTTTGGAGCATTTCTAACAGAACATCAAACTAAAACAATGGTTTGCTGAGTCTGTTACTTAGCACTAATTAGCACTAGCATGTTTCTCGGTGCATTAATTCAGCTAGCTAGCCAAGCTAACTAACGTTAGCTGATGAATAACTCTCCAAACATTTTAAGGTCACTTCTGGCTCTAAAAGACAAACCCTGCGCTGCCTACACCGCTAATGCTGAAGCTTCAAAATGAGGAGTGGCTATATCCACCCATTATGCTGCCTTTGAATATGACACACGGTACATGTATGAACATGTTCACGGGGAAAAAGCTTCCTTTTGTGGCACAAAGTTAGATTCATGAGACAGAAAATGATGTGGCCCATAAACGAGAGTCAGGTAATAATTATGTGTTTTTTTGACTAGAAGCTGAACTGTTTATATTACATCGAGTGAATTCAACTATTTCTCATATGAAAAAGTCTGATGAGACTAATGACTGCTTCCCGAGTCCCCGAGCTGTGAAAATATGCACTGAGTTTATAGCCAAAAAGAAAACAAAATGTAAAAGCTAGCCAGTCATTTTAATCAAATAGCTTTTCTTCTAGTCAAACAGCCAAACACAAAATAATTGTATGGCCATGATTTTATGGCATTACTATATTAGTTTTAGTGCAGGCGTCAGCTGAACTAGCCTCCTTTTAACCTTGATGACTCGGGTGTCACAGAAGTTAATGGGCCTGGTTCCTGCTGTGTTCAGCATATATGATCTGCGAATGTGACATCGACTATTGCAAAATGATTGACAGCACAAAATTGGAGAAAAGTGCGAGGCTGTTTGAAGGACAGCAGGTAAATTATGTCTTTTGCTGACAACTATTTATTTCCGAATGACTCTTCAGCTTCAAGACGTTGTTTCCGCTCCTAAAGATTTGGAACTGAACTTTTCTGTATAGAGCGAAGTTTGTCAGCGCTGATTTCCACCTCGTCTTAATGACTTTCCTGTCATAGTCGTGACGCTTGATAGTCTGACTTCAAGGACCAATGAAGAACATTTGAAGTGCATTTAAAGCTTTTTTGATGCAACAACGGCTTTTCTTGTTTAGTAAATCCAAATATATTTATCACCTATATTTTGCATCCATATATGGCTGACAGTAGGTCACTGTATTCTTCTCTTTCACCCTTTCCCAAACTCCCAAGCTTGCTGATTTCAGTTTGAGGTAAGAAGCAAATCCCATTTACTCGTCAAATCTCGCTCAAACGAGATAAATTGCATTGTTATCAGAAACCTGCTCACATCAAAGGAAGCAGAGAAGAGGGAGTTCTGCTGTGAATCTATCAACAGAAATTAATTATCCATCGTAAATGAAATGAGCGCACCAGGGGATTCTCCGCAGCGGATCAATGGAGCAATCTAAAGGAGTTTATGAGCGGAGGAAGTGCGTGCATGCACACAGTCCACGATTTATATACTCGTGAGGACAAGAGGATAAAACGGTTGAGGAAATTCTCCAAGAGGAGCTCGCTTCAAAGGCTTAATTCTCACAGAGGAGGTGGGTCAGGGCTGGCTCTTAAATACAGTGTTGAGATTTTGATGTACTAAATTCTTTGAACTGATCAGAGAAGCAGCAGAAAAGCTCCTACTTTGCTACCTAATCTTGGGGTGGACAGATCAGAGTTTAAGGCCCACCTTGATGCCAAAGGCCATGTTATGAGCCAGCTTGTGCTCACAAGCCATCTGCAAACATCTTATCAAAAGAGTTGTTCCTGTGAGGAGTGACTGATAATGGTGTACGTGACGGAGAGCCAAAGAAGTCACACTTTGCCTGCTGTGTGATGTAGTGCACAGATCCAGTTCTTCAGGGAAGATGTTCAGGTAACAAAGTCCCGCTGAAGAAATCGAACCAATGTAAACCTTTCCAAAACGTTTCCATCAGGGTGACGATTAGCGAAGGTTATCGCTATCAATAGTATATCAATATATCATATCATCAAAGTTGATATGAAAAAAGAGAGAAAACAGATGAAAGAGAAGGACTACACGATCTGTCAGCCCCAGAGGAGAAATTCACTGCAATTTAAAAAAATCCTGATTCTCCAGCAAGGAAATGTGAGGAATACGGGAAGGTCCCAGCCTGCACCTTTATTTACTGCATGGTTTTCTTTACATGTGATTGTATTGTAATTCTGAGTATTTGTGATTTATGGTAGTTATATAATATAATATAATATCATATCATATCATATAATATCATATATAGGGTGAAGGTGACGGTGGTCCCCGTGGTAATCGGAGCACTAGGTGCAGTGACTCCCAAGCTAGGCGAGTGGCTCCAGCAGATCCCGGGAACAACATCGGAGATCTCTGTCCAGAAGAGCGTAGTCCTGGGAACAGCTAAGATACTGCAGGACCCTCAAGCTCCCAGGCCTCTGCTAGAGGACCCGAGCTTGAAGGATAGAGAGAGAGATGTGTGTGTGAGACATTCTTAAGTGAAATGTAATATTCCTGTATGAAAAAGCAGCACTATTGATGATTGATTGATTGAATCTTTATTTTGAACATGTTGAAAAAGTATAAAAAAAAATATATATATATATAAAGATTCAAGATGATAATTTGTTTCTTGAGTTTCCACCAGTAAAGCCATTGGACCCAGCTTGGCTGGAGAGCTAACCACCTGGGACACCACATGCTGTGCAGCAAAGTCAGAACAGCTGTGCAGTGTAGCATACAAACCACTGCTGGGACCAAGAGCAGAGCTGTTCACCTTGTTCTGACTGTTTTGTGTAAAAACACTTAAACGTAGGCTGATAGCATACAGTAGCTAACTTAGCTAATGGTCCAGTTCTAACAGGGAGTGTGGCAGATCTCTACAATGTTCAGCATGAGGCCCCCAGGCCTCACAACATCTCTGTGCAACAATCAAAGGTGCGTCAGGAACCAGCTGTGGCTGTTTGCAAATACGCATAAGGGAAGCAACGCCCACACTTCTGTCGAGCAATGAGACAGAGTAATGATTTTAACTGGACGAAAGTCTGGCAGCTAATGACAAACACAGACAAAGTAACCCTGGTTACACTCTCACCTTCACACAGCTGAACTACAAACGAGAGCAGGCAGGAAACTCCGTGACTAAGAGCCACATCACAGGTAATTAGCACATATGTAAACAAAAGCTGGCATTTAAAAAAATGACAGTAAGTAATGAATGTGGTGGTAGAATCTGTGTGTGTGGGTACGGGCGCGTAGGTGTGTGCACAAATAAATCAATGGGTCCTGACATTATAGCAAACAGCGGCAGCCTCACGCACACACTCTCAGTCTGGAGTGGGAGACAATGGAATTGCTCCGTGGATTCCATCTGTGGCTCAATGGGATGGCGGCAAACACAATGAGGTGCTGATCAAATGTGTCAGTCAGCGATGTAGGCCCAGGCTGATGATACTGAGAGGCAGTCTATTACAACTTCCAAAAAGGTCCCAGCTGTCTTTCCTCTGCATCATTATCAGCTAAATTAGCCGTCCTACAGCTATTCGTGGACACCCACCGACTATTTTTACCCACTGATTTTTCTCAGACTGCTTGGAATGAGATTCTGTGCCGCGTGGAAATTTTGGGTTCAGTTCGGAGAACGATCACATCCTCCCACTGTAGAGGCCGGGATTTCCTGATGGTCACAAAGAACTGCACAGGTGCTGTAGGTACTCACAGAGAAGCAACACTAATCCCTTCTGCAAAAAAGTGTCTCCATCATGTCACCGTCACTGTGCATTGCGTGGCTTTCTTTAGTTTTAACCCAACGCTATGAGAGA